GAAAATTATCCCACCACCCAAATAAAAACCATCGCCTTCGACTTCTCCGTCGGTAGCTTGGTTGGTATGAATGAGCTGCTAGAGGAGGAGATCAGAGGGCTGGACGTCGGCGTTTTGATAAACAACGTTGGGGTGACGTACCCAAGTGCTAGATTTTTGCATGAGGTGGATGAGCAAGTGTGGACGAATGTGGTAAAGGTGAATGTGGAGGGCACAACCAGAGTGACCATGGCGGTTTTACGAGGAATGGTTGAGAGGAAGAGAGGTGCCGTTGTCAATATTGGGTCTGGCGCAGGCATTGTCGTGCCCTCACATCCTCTCTTCACCGTCTACGCCGCTACCAAAGCGTAAGCATACATTATTATAGGGGTAAATAATGAATTAATTGGTTAATTGGGTTTTGTAGGGGTAAATAATCAATTAATTGGATTGGTTATATTATTAAAGGGTTAAATATTTCTTTCCTCACACAAAATTTCAACTTGGTCACTTAGAAAAAAAAAATTAACCATTTAGTTAGCGTATAACTCAACATTTACAATTTATAGACATATTATTTTTTCTCTAAACGCAAGTTCTACGGTGATCAATTTAAGTAAATTAAATTTCGTGTTTATTTAACCCTATGCAGTTATGTGGACCAATTGTCAAGATCCCTCCACGTGGAATACAAGCGTTATGGCATTGATGTGCAGAGCCAGGTGCCATTATACGTAGCAACAAAGATGGTGTCAAAGGTGGCATCCATCGAGGGGTCATCTCTGTTCATACCGACGCCGCATGCGTATGCCAAAGCAGCGATTCGGCGTATTGGGTATGAGGCCCGCTGCACACCGTTTTGGGCTCACTCTCTTCAGTGGTGCTTGGGGAGCTTGGTCCCCGAGTCTCTTCTTGACGCTTGGCGCCTCTCTATTGGCTTGAAAAGAAGGGCCAAGCTACACTATGCATAACTAGCTAGCTAGCTACTGCTACTAATTTATAAGTTGCTTCTATATATATAAAGACCAAAT